CCAGTTACATTCATGAAGCAGTCACAAGATCTTTCGCTAAGGGGAAGATCTGTTGCTACTTGTCCCACTTAAAAAATAAATCAAAACTTGTTATGGAAAGTGCCTGATGAGTGTGTAATATTTTATCTGGAATATCACCCTCGATAAACTGTACTAGTCATGAGGTACATGTGAGTCTTTATGTATCAGTGGACTGGCGATGTGGAGATCCAGTATACTAGCAGAGGGTGTGTGTGTGTGTGTGTGTGTGTGTGTGTGTGTGTAAAAGCAGAAGATAGTACTTCTGGTCTTTTTTGGATAAGGGCATGAGAGACAAATATTGTACATACTACTCAACTAAGGACTTTGGGCAAATCATTCCTTCCTACACTATCTATGAAGGGTGCAGAGAACTCTTTCAAACATGGTATTACCAGCAGTTGCAATTGTATTAGATGTCTCCTGATATTTGGTGTTTTTCATGAAGTCCAGTTCCTGGAGGCAAGTTATTTGGTGAGAATCTCAGCTTTCATTTAAAAACATTTGAAGCCTCAAGCCCTCATTGTTCTGTAAAAAAGCTGTAGCCTGCTTCCTGATTTTTGGACACTTGGGGTTGGCAATGTTGCAAATTACCAAAAGTCGTGGATGGATAGAAATTGAGCCTAAGTGGCATCATGCCCTCACTCTTTCAACCCTGTAGAAGTCCCTTCATGTGACCTCTGTGTCATGTGGGCCTCATAGGTTTTGTGCTATGTTTGGTGGAGCCAAACAAGAGTCTGTCTATATGTCATAATTCCTACACAAATACCTGGGCTTATGCCCAGGGGAACTGATGTTTCCCCTGTTAACGTTTAACTCTTCTAGATATTTCTCCAGGAATATAATGGGGAATGGTACTAATAGCTAGGCCTTGCTAATCCAGCCTTACCCCTCCGTGGATTGCTTGAGATTTGCCAGATTTCCCATCAGATTTTGGGACAGTTGTTTGGAACAACAATCCCTATGCATACCATGGATGACCAAATTTAGAATTACCCTTTTAATTTTGGCCCTCCAACATCTTTTTTACATAGACGCATAATCTGTGTGATTTGTTATTGTTTAGTTTAAAACCTGCCAAAGATCTAGCCAGGTGGACAGCTTTACAAGAGTAGGTTCAAAGGGATGAACAAAAGTCTGCTGGTCTTCATAAGATCTATAAATAACTATCTTTGTTTTAACAATATTTTTTTAATTACCACATACCCCTATGGAAATCAGTGTTTGACACATGATACAGAACTGTAATAGCTTATCTTGAAAACAAATGAATGTTTACGATATAGATGACAGCTTTACTTTCTCTTTTGTCTGTGAGAGAATAGGCTTATTCTAATATATTTCAGACCCTCAGTATCTTACTATGTTCATTCACCAAACTTTGTATTTAGAAATTCATCTTGAGTATAATGAGAACAATCTGTGTGGTTTGGTGGTTTTTGTTTAATTTTTAAATAGCATGTAGATATAGTCATCATTGTGAGTTAGGTATCAGCCGACCCTGTCTACGGTTACTTTCATAGAGGTTTATCCCAAACATTGCCCATTTGAGAATTGCATTAGCAACCTGTGAGGAAGTTGGTGAAACACACAAAGAAGCACATTATAACTGCATTCAGCTTTAATACCGAGGTGTGGCCCATATAGAATACTGGTCCTGGTAGGCAGTGCTCCATCTTGATCAAGGAAATGCAATTCTGTGGTACAGAACTCTTTTGGGACCATATTTGGCCCATGAGCTGCACATTGGCCAGTACTGCTTTAATTTATACAATCAAATACATTTTATTTGAATATTGTGTCCTTACAGGGATCACAAAATGCTTTACTCAGAGTTTATAGACAACTAAAGAGAAAAAGACATTAAGATGTGATGAGAATGAGAGGTAAAACTTGTAAAGATAACATTTCTATAATCCCCCCCTTATAGATTCACATAAAAATTGCATATTTCACACTCCCATGTAAATCATAAAAATAAACAATATAGAAAATCAGTGAATCATACGTTGGTTACAGGCTACATCCTGCTTACTTCTAGTTACATGGGCTAGTTATATGAATAAGGCAAGCAGGTTTTGGCCTCATATTGTTGAAATATTTTGTTAAAACTGAGAAAAAGAATTAGTGTGTGGTCCTAGGGGTGTATGCAGGATGGCCCCTGATTCAGCAAAGTACTTGAGCCTATAAGTCCATCTCTATTCAGCAAAGCACTTCATGCTTAACTTTAAGCACATGAGCATTCCCATTTACTTCTACACAGACAGTCAATGGGATTTTTCGGGTGCTTAAAGTAAAGCATGTACTTACATATCTTATTGAATCTGGACCCGTGAATAACCTATTTACAAATTTCTTGCTGAGGGACAGAGGCAATAAAAGTTCAGTCCAGCTATTGTATCTGTGCAAGTTTACCAGGGAGTCCAATTTTTTAAAATGCAGTTCTATTCCAAAAAGTAACTGAGGCCTTGTCTAAACTATGCACTAAATTGCTGCCGCTGCGATCGACGCATCTGCATCAATGTAATGGGTCTGGTGAAGACACAATAAGTCGATGGGAGAGCGCTCTGCTGTCGACTTAATTAATCCACCTCAATGAGAGGCGGAAGCTCTGTCGAAGGACGAGCTTTAAGTGAATGTAAGTTATGTCAACTTAAGTTATGTAACTTATATAACTTAACTAGCATAACTTACAGCATTAGTGTGGAGTAGGCCTAAGTAAAAATACCATTGTGCTTTACACAAGGCACAGTCAACCTGTGGAACGCTTTGCCAGAGGATGTTGTGAAGGCCAAGACTATAACAGGGTTCAAAAAAGAACTAGATAAGTTCATGGAGGATAGGTCCATCAATGGCTATTAGCCAGGATGGGTAGGGATGGTGTCCCTAGCTTCTGTTTGCGAGAAACTGGGAATGGGCGACAGGGAATGGATCACTTGATGATTACCTGTTCTGTTCATTCCCTCGGAAGCACCTAGCATTGGCCACTGTCGGAGGACAGGATACTGGGCTAGATGGACCTTTGGTCTGACCCATTATGTCCGTTCTTATGTTCTCAATAGATGTTCCCTGAGTATGTTTGTCATCATTTCTGCTTCCACTACTGACTGCTATTCACTCTTGTTTGCAATGCAGAGCAACCATAACTATGTGAAAGAGATATGGATTCTCTGCTGGCTTGTGCATCATCAACGGAATATTTTAATTGTTTTGATTGCAAAATTTGTATTGTTGTTGATGTGTGAGCCAGAAAGAACACAGCTGGACTTTGAAATTCCATGTTGCATTTGCTGAGCTAGCAGTTAGTAAAATAATCTTTTTATTTACAAGCTGAGTATGTTTGATCGGGAGACATGATACAAATGGAACCTACAATGCCATTTTCAAAAGCCATGCTGTAAGATTCAGGCAGGCTTTGAGGGTGAAGAAACTGAAAGGAGTTTGATTCTTATTAGATTCTGCAACAAAAATATTTCTTTGTTACTGAAAGCCTTATATGAAGTCCACGCAATCAGACAGACAGCAGCTGCAACTTTTATTAGGTTTGAGTCAAAGTAATATCCTGAGATAAAAAGGAAATGCGGATAATTGACTGGCATTTATTTTTGCAAAGCATCAAAGTGAGATTGCTATCTGATCCAAACAGAGAGAGCACTGTTCAGCCATATGAGGATGTTACAGACCAGTTTCATCCCTGGTGTGTCTCTATTAACTTCAGCTTAGTTACAGCAGTGATTAAGCAAGCGATTTGTTTATAAAAATAGCTTCACTACACAAAAGGGTTAGTTATTTAAATGGTCACATTAAACAAGATATTACTAGAATTACTCCTTCCTCAGTAGTTGGAGCTCCTGCATGTGGCTTTATCAACCCTGGGACAAGGACCACAATAGAAATAACGGGATTAAACTCAATACCTTTGAGGTATAAGTAGGGTTGCCAGGCACCTGGTTTCTGACAGGAACGCCCGGTCGAAAAGGGACCCTGGCGGTTCCGGTCAGCACTGCTGACCGGGCTGCTAAAAGTCCAATCATCAGCATAGCAGGGCTAAGGCAAGCTCCCTGTGACTCCCAGAAGCGACTGGCATGTCTGGCTCCTAGGCACAGGGGTGGCCACAGGGGCTCCGCATGCTGCCCCTGCCCCAAGCACCGGATCCTCAGCTCCCATTGGCTGGGAACCGTGGCCAATGGGAGCTGCAGGGGAGGTGCCTGTGGGTGCAGGCAGTGCGCAGAGTCCCCTGGCCCCTCCGCCTAGGAGCCAGACATGCCACCCACTTCTGGGAGCCACCTGAGGTAAGTGCCCACTGGCCAGATCCCGCACCTTGCACCCTAACCCATTGCCCCAGCCCTGAGATCCCTGCTACAGCCCAAACCCCTCATCCCCAACCCCGCCCCAGAGCCTGCACCCCAAGCAGAGTCTGCACCCCAACTCCCTGCCCTAGCCCGGAGCCCCCTCATACATCCAAACCCCTCATCCAGAGCCCACACCTCCAGCTGGAGCCCTCACCCCTCCCGCACCCTAACCCCCTGCCTCAGCTCAGTGAAAGTGAGTGATGGTGGGGGAGAGTGAGGGATGGAGTGAGCGGGGGCAGGGCCTCGGAGAAGGGGCAGGACAGGGGCCTCAGGGTAGAGGGTGGGGCAAAGGTGGTCAGTTTTGTGTGATTAGAAAGTTGGCAAACCTAGATATAAGGTGGATACTTTGGGTACAAACCTATAAGATGCTTTGTACAATCAGCTTAGACTCATTTGAAAGAAAGTTTATGGAGCCTGGTACCTGCTTAGGAAATTAATGGAAACTGGGTGTTCAAATCCCCTAGACAGCTTTGAAAATCTCAGCCACAGAGTTCTTGTGAAGTGTGTTGCCTAATTCCTACCGTCTCCTACATTTATGCAACAGAAATAATGCTGCATTGGCTTCTAATATTGGCAATGAAAAATTCTTTATATAGTGTTTTTATATGTAATACCCTTTTTCTTTTTTAGATAATTCTTGTGAGTTCTTCACATAATGACCGGGACCAGAGCCTTTTCATGAGCATAGATGAAGGAGCCACTTTTCAAAAGCAGCCCATTACCTTCTTTGTGGAAACCCTGGTTTTTCACCCAAAAGATGAGGATAAGGTGATTGCTTACACCAAGGAAGGCAAGGTAAAGCTTGGGTGTTCTTGACCATCACATGATGTTTCATATTAACCTAATCAGATTGTCATAACTTGCTGATTAGGTTTATATAACATGAGTTGCCTAAGGGGAAGCAATACCCAGTTCCTGAAATGCTCCTTCCTCTATTTCAGTAAATTATATCAATCTCAAAATGCCATTGTCCTTTTAGAGTATTTTCATTCTCTGTCATTTCTTGTTGATACTGATATTGGCAATATAATCTATCCTGTAACGTAATTATAGTTAAGTACAATCCTAGAAACTTTTTTCCCTAGAAATTGGCCATAAGCAATTGTATAATGTAGTAGAAAGTTAACTGAGCTGAAATATTGGCTCCGAAGCCATTCTTGGTTGGTAAAATAAAATGAAATAAACCTTTGCTTAGGTGTAAAGCAGAAGAAGAGTCCATTGAATCGGTAGATCTGTAGAAAAGTAGAAGAATACTCTCTTTGAAGTATTCAGACCACATACAGATTTAGAAGTCACATCAAATTATTTGTAGACTTTCAATAGTGTTCTGGATTACTGCTCCTTAAAGTATAAAGATTTATGGCATTTTTTCGGATGTGTTAATGTAAACACCTGCAGTTGAACACACAATCCAATAAAAATGTATATTCAATCTTTTTTCATAGCACCAGAGCTAAAGCTGTAAAATCATAGAGATTTTGGTCCTGATTTTGATCTTACTTACAATGTTTATATTGACATAACTCTATTATTACTCCTGATACGTGCAACCCTGAGTAAGATCAGAATCAGGCCCTTTAAGCGTTGTCACCGTGTATGGAGGGTTTATCTTGCTTATGTGATGAAGGGAGTAGAGGGCAAGTTGTTCATTTTGCTGTCAATTATTGCACAGATATTACTGTGATGTTCTACTGCTACTCTGAAACCTTTCAGGAACTGAATCTAAAGCTATGCTCAGCTGATCACCAGTGGTTCATGCTGTTCCACTATTTACAAACAAGGCTACATCTAGAAGAACTCATGACAGCTTTGACTGTTTCTGCCTTACAAATGTCATGGTGGATTTCTTTGTTTTGTTAAGTCAGTTTTAGGTCCTAAATAACATACAAAAATGTTTTGAAAATTTGACAGCAGCAAAAATATTTACGTGGGAAAAATACAGCACAAAAGCCTTCATTCTGTTTTCAGTTGAGTTTCTGGTGGAATAATCTACAAAGGGAAGTGGTGGAAGCTCCTATTAAAATTAGACTGGACAAAACACTAGAAAATGTGCAGTAAGTAACAATCCTCTATTGGCCAGGAGAAGGATTAGGTGATCTAATAGATCTTTCCTTTCTATCAGTCTTACAATTAAAGCAGTGAAACATAGGGACATAAAAGACCAAATTGTGCAGTCTTTACTCAAGATGTATGTAAGAAAAGCTATCATTGGCTGGAAGGGGAGATTTACCTGTGTAAATCTTGAGTAAGGACTGCAGGATTTGTCTCAAAGAGAGTAATATAAATAATGGAGATATCCCCTCTCCTTGAACTGGAAGGGACCTTGAAAAAGGTCATTGAGTCCAGCCCCCTGCCTTCACTAACAGGACCAAGTACTGATTTGCCCCAGATCCCCAAGTGGCCCCCTCAAGGATTGAACTCACAACCCTGGGTTTAACAGGCCAATGCTCAAACCACTGAGCTATCCCTCCCCTGAGAGGTAGAGATGAGGGAGAGAGAAGGAAGAGATGGAGGGCAAAGTTCAGAAGTGGCATAAAAGAATCACTATGTTGAAATCCATGGCCCCAGAGGTAACATACGCCTTGAGAGATCTCATAGTCTGGATCCTAGAGTTGTATAAGTATATTTCCACCTAAGTGAAAGAAAGATGTATCAGAAAACTCATGAGAACAAGCTCTCTCATTTTTACAGCCTAAAGAAGTTCAGATAATTTGGATAAACTGAGAAGAAGCTTCCTAATCAACCCATTACTTGCAGTAGCATTTTTGAGTGCACAAGAATGCAGGATTGAGCTCTTTGACAAATAGCAATCTGCAAGCTTCTGTCTCCTGGAGCATCTCAATGTTCTCATGATTTCTGGCTTGATTTAGTTCCTACTTTATATAGCAAAACCTGGATTGTTCTTCTATTGAATTTTATTTAAATAAAGTTCCAATCTCTAACTGACACTCTATAAATGAATACAAAGCTAGTCAGTGCGGTTGGGTTAATCTACTTACTGGCTCAAGTCTATACTTTCTTTTTTTGGCTACCAAAATAATAATGAACATCAATCAGTTGTTCACTGAGACAATATAAATGCTTGATTTCATTTTTAAGACTTGACAGGGATCACAGGAGATTTTAATTGTTTCTTTGAAAACTGTGTGAGGGTGGGGAAAAAACCTGAACTCATGTATTCCTGTGGCCTTATAAAAAGTGACTACATTAATTTAGTGCAAGGCTGATAATGAACAGAATAAAAACTAATTCAGAAGTGTTTGCTGAAATGGAAAGTTTTGCCTTTTCCATTAATACAACTTTTACACCACAAATGTAATTTCAAATTTGATGTTTGTCATGGGTAATCAAAAATAAAATACACGATGAGTCAGAGTTTTCTCTCATTTAGGGCCTGATTCAGCAAGATATTTTAGCACATGCATAAATGTAAGCATGTTGAGAAGTCTTACTGAATTTAAGTTAAACACATTCTTAAATGCCTTGCTGCAATGGGGTCTAGCTCATTACTCCTAGATATACCTCTTTTTATTATGATAAATTATTCCTTCCATTCTTGGTGTTTTAAACTCTTCAAGTTTTTGTTCATTTAGCTGTTTTTTTGGCCAACCTCTACATATTTGTATAGGATACATCTATGCCAAACTAGATATCTTCTCCGTTTTTCTAATCCTTAGCAAGTCATTCCAATTTGCTTCCTTACCAACTGTTGTTCTCCGCTGAACTCTCTTCATCGTTGTCTTTCTGACTGATAACGGGTGATATTCCAGAGGTGCTTTCACCAAATTCATAGACAGAATGTTATGTCCCCTTTCCCATTACATGCATTTCCTATGTCATATATGTAGCCTAATACCACCTATAACTTATACCTTAAACAGCAACAGCCTGTACAGTGAATATCCACAATACAGTGAATATTGTCTCCTATTCTGGTCACTTTACTTCACATTTCCATGGAACAAAGCCCTATTACTATGCAGTATAGTGCACGATAGCTGGATAGTGTTGTTCTTTGGCCTCCATATTATTTCTGATTACAAAAATTAATCGAGAAAAGGTGCGTAACCCCACATTCTTAAATATGTAAATAACACAGTACATAATATCCATAATAAAAGCGCAATATGTACATAATGGATTCATCACTTTCATTTGAGCCTCTCCTGTTACAAATAAGTGTCTTTCTGAGTATTCCCTACGAGGCTCTGCACTGCAGCACTGACTGTGCTTAACAGATAAATGAGGCCTTACATTGAAAGGGAGAAGTTTTCCCCATTATTTTCATCTGAAATATGGCAGGGGGAGGGAACCCAATCATGTGTAAATTGAATGAAATAGCAAATACAAGGGACTTCAATGTCTGTGTATATCTGACTTCTTAAAGTTGTGCTAGGGGTTACTTTATAGCTACAGAGGAGAATGCCTTCTGGAGGCTCTGATTGAAATGAGGTAGTCTTTGAATGACTAGTGTTATGTATTGCACATGTCATGGAACGAGAATTATATCTGTGCTACTGACATATCTTGTCTCAGTGTTCTTGTTGTTATTAGCACATTAATTTCTGAAATTAAATGTGGTGGGAAAGAACCAAGCCCAGTGTTACCAACTATGACCAGTGCAGAGGAAGGTCCTGGCCCCATCCCCTACCATCTCCACCTTACCTCTTTTGAGGTGGCTGTTGCTCCCTGGGGTACAATCAGGGAGCAGTCTCTGTGCTTATTAGGATCCCTGTTAAGCAAGTGCATAAGTTTATCTATAGTCAGCAAAACTCTTAAGCATCTGATTGGCTTTTCACGAGACTTAAGTCTGTGCTGAACAGTAAGCATTTTAAGTAGGGCTGTCAAGTGATTAAAGAAATTAATTGCGATTAATCACGCTGTTAAACAGTAATAGAATAACATTTATTTAAATATTTTTGGATGTTTTCTACATTTTCAAATATATTGATTTCAGTTACAACACAGAATACAAAGTGTACAGTGCTCACTTTATATTTATTTTTGATTACAAATATTTGCACTGTAAAAACAAAAGAAATAGTATTTTTCAATTCACCTAATACAAGTATTGTAGTGCAATCTCTTAACATGAAAGTTGAACTTACAAATGTAGAATTATATAAAAAAAAACCCTACATTCAAAGATAAAATAATGTAAAACTGGTTGAAGCATCAAGGGACATATGAATCTTTAGCACATCTGGCATGTAACACTGGCTACAACAGGGCCATGCAAATGCCTGTTCTCACGTTCAGGTGACATTGCAATTAAGAAGTGGGCAGCATTATCTCCCGTAAATGTAAATGAACTTCTTTCTCTTAGCAATTGGCTGAACAAGAAGTAGGACTGAATCGACTTGTAGGTTCTAAAGTTTTACATTGTTTTGTTTGTGATTGCAGTTATGTAACAAAAAAACCTACATTTGTAACTTGCACTTTCATGATTAAGAGATTGCACTACAGTACTCGTATGAGGTGAATTGAAAAATACTATTTCTTTTGTTTATCATTTTTACAGTGCAAATATTTGTAATAAAAAATAATATAAAGTGAGCACAGTAAACTTTGTATTCTGTGTTATATTTGAAATCAATATATTTGAAAATGTAGAAAAACATCCAAAAATATTTAATACATTTCAATTAGTATTCTATTGTTTAACAGTGCAATTAATCATCATTAATTTTTTAATCATGATTAATTTTTTTGAGTTAATCACGGGAGTTAACTGTGATTAGTAGACAGCCCTAATTTTAAGCTTTGCAGAATTGGGGCCTTGAGCATTTGCACTTGGCTGGCCCCTATGTGGGAAAAACCAAGGGAGGAAAAATTCCCTTGCACTCCCTCCTCTTGCACAATCACAGCAGGGTTAGCAACAGTCTGATCTAAAATGAAATTGTGCATTGTTTTCATGGGAAACAAGGCATCATTGACAGAGCATTTTACTCTTCTATTTATATGTATAAATGTTAAGCAAGTTTGTCTTGGTTTCACTTGTTCGAAAAGATTCAAATGTTATTGCTTTGGAAAGCATTCTAGAAAGTTCCTTGGACTGATTTTGATTCATGTGAAATCTGTCATTTTAATAGCTTATTTCAAAGTCCCTTGGTTAGTCACTGTCTTTTAGAATTTACACTGTTAGCAGTGCTCTACCAGCTAATATTTTTCTTTTTTCTTTGAAGCTATATGTGTCAGTTGACTTGGGGAAAAAATGGACTCTTCTGCAGGAACGAGTGTCAAAAGACCATATTTTTTGGTAAGAGGCATACATTGTTGTTAGTCTCCAATGAACACATGAAAGGAAAAAGTATCTGATACTAATCCTCCTAGGTGTTTCCTGAGGCAGGAGGAAGGATAATAAAACAAATCTGACATCTTTTGCAGGGGCAATTCTAGTCTCCTGTTCACCTGGGTCCAATCTTGCACATTCAGACTCATACTTACTCAGGCAAGGAGCCCCAATTGACTCGAACGGAAGAGTTTTCAGCACTGTGGTCTAGTGACGTTGGTTTAGAGAGAATTTTAATGTCCGCTCAAACTGCACTTCATTTTACAGATAAAAGTGATCTCTAGAAGCCAGACCGTATCAATCTAGAGGGAAAAATCTATAAAGTTAAAGGCTGAATCTGGCATATTAACTACATCTGTATAGAAAAATGTTCATTGCCTGGGAAGCAAGTGAAATTCGCAAAACTTTTGCTGTCTTTCCACAAATATGGTGGGTTGTTTTCACAGGGAGAAAAAAACTATTTGTTGGACAAAAATGGCCACTGTTCTATGAAAGTGACCCGAAGCCAATCTGTGAAAATGTGTGACTTGTTCCAGAATGGAAATGAACCTTCGTCTTCTGCCAAAAAAGAGAAGAAAAATTGTGGTCAGTTGTGGAAGTGATCAAATTTTATATTTAACCAATTGCCTGAATTCTATTGGGAAAAAAAAACTAAAAAAATCTCAGCTTCCACATGTGGGCTTTAATCTAACAAATACAGAGGGTTTCATACAAGTCTAATTTTAGCCTTATGTATTATTATTTTGTATTCCAATCGTACCCACAAAGTGCTAGACACTGTCTATCCATACAGGAAGACATGGTGTCTCCCCACAAGATCTTATCATTGTGGTTCCTTTGGTGTTTCTGAACTGCGTAAATTGCATTGCAGTGTGAGTATCTTCATCCTTGTGCAAAGTCATCTCTGGCTTTCAAGATTATGGAGTTAGTCAGCTGGTGGCCTACACTATAATGAACTTAATTAATTTTAACTGCCTTCCCAACTAGTGCCCGTGCTTCCTGTGCTCCCCCTCCCCCAGTTCTTTAGGCAGTTGGGGTATGTCTGTGCAGCAAAAAGTCTCAGAGCCCGAGTCAGCGGTCTCAGGCATGGGGAGTTTGTGCTGCAGGGCTAAAAATGGCAGTGTAGGTGTTCAGGCTCGGGCTGGAGCCTGGGCTCTCAAACCCGGTGCTCTACAGGTGAGACACTAGGGAGACTCGCCCTGGCCAACTCAGCAGGGGCTCTGCTGATCTTCTTATTTGGAGGTTACGCTTTGTAAAATATAGATATTATAAAATAAGGATATTATAATAAATACAAATATGAAATATTATGGTCAGATTGGAACCTGGTAATCCATCCCAAATACAGGTTAGCGTGTAGAGGCCCCAGAAGCAGGACAGATAGCAAGCTGTGAGTCTGAGTCACAATGTGCTTCCTGCTTTCTTCTTGGACCTAGGAGAAGTAGTTTATTCTGTTTGTTGGCACAGATTACTTACCCCTGTGTCAGCTCTGGTGGACCTTTTCCACCTGCATGGGAGAAAGAATACCAGCTCCTTTCCCCCCCCAACTCCCTGTCACACAGTAGGGCTGATCATTGAGGCTCACAGCATTATGTTTGTGCCACAAATGACCAAATTCCATTCAAAACTCGTGTGAGCTTGGAATTTCCAAGGTAAGATAGATCCTTCTTCCTACATAACCATCATTATGAAGGTTCTTTTGAGTCTGTCTTAGCTACCTTGTCCTGTACTTTTAAATTTAGAAGCAACATTCTGGGCCAAATTCTGCTCTGGTTTATTCCCCATTTTCTTCACTGGGGTTGCACAGGGTATATAAGTCAGGATGGCATATGGCTCACTGTCTTTAATTAGAGAAAAAAATTAATGTGCTTGCAGTTCTATCATCTTGTGTTTTTTAATCCTTGGCTATTATGATCCTTGATCAGTTCAGGTAATATTTATTTTTTATTTTTGTGTTGAGATCAATATGATAAACCGCTCCAGTACTGCTATTAAGATGGGATGGGATGGGAGAATATTTTCATTACAAAGTATTTAAACATGGGGGGGGGGCAGACACAGAGCAGGGGACATTGGCCAGGTAGGGCACTGAATGAGCAGTTGACAGGATGATTTTCAAAGATGATATAATGAATTCCCCTTGCCACGCCCAAAACATAAATCAGTTGTAACTCAACTATATTACTATATTGTGTAAATCAAATTGTTGTGGTTTTTTTTGTCTCCCCAAGTAACTCAAATTCCCAGGAGCCATTATCCTTTAAAGCTAATCAGAGTAGACATTTGCAACAGTGTTTAAAAAAAAAATCCCCACAGTACTGTATGTAGTAAAAACAGTTTTTGACCTGGTCCTTCCATTGTAAGCAATGGATAATGCTGTTTTCACTGGATTTCTAAGCAGTGCTTTGCCCTTGAACTGACTGTGTGAATTACTGAAAATCAGTTTCAGTTCCAAATCTTGAACCTATTAAAATTCTGATAAGCATAATATTATTATTAACGGATTATATTAAAGCAGTGCTGGAGAAGAGACAGAGCAAACCTGCTAGTTTTCACTGGATCTTTGATAAGAGGCTCATGTAACAGTGATGAAGGGTTTCTTGTTTTTAGAGCTAGCTTATTTGAGGATCTCTCTGCATCAGCAGGCACCACAGTAAATTGCATCAAATATTTTACAATGGAGCCCTTTTGTGTGCTTCTTGAGGAACCTAATTAGTGTAGATGAACTGCACATCCATGACAGATTCCACCTGATTAGGTACCTAGTTCTTGCTTCTCTTGAATAAAATGAGATTTAAAAAAAAGAAACCATCCCCTGCCTCCTCCCACAAATTAACCCAGGGCATTTAAAATACAGAAGTACGGTCTATATGAAGATCATATCCAAAAGCATCGACTTTATATTTATAGTGTGTGAAGGGTTATTGTTCATGATTCACATTTCAAGATGTACTATGTGTTAACAATTTGTGTTTTTTTGAATCCCATATATTACGTGACTGTAGGTCAAATTATAAATGAGCACTACTACTTTTCTGATATTTTTTGTGACTGAAATAAGTGAAAGCTGTTATGAGCAGCTCACAAGGATGAGAAATAGTTAAATAAAATAACAATCTTGGTCAAAACAATCTTAAAGGCTTGACAAACTCAGAACAAAAGAATTCTGAATATAGAAATTCTTAGTGTTCTTACTGAGAAATGTAAAATGTGCACAATGCATGACTGTATTCATGTGTAGACACAGACACAGGAGCTTGTTTTTCTACTCCATTATATCATTTTTATGCTGGTGTAACTCCCTTAAAGTCAATGTTTTGCACAGTGTAAAAGTCGAGTTAACAGAGTTGTGAATTAGGCTTTCTGAGATGGGAGCTGAGAGAAACAGAAGAGGAGCTTAAACCCTCCCCCCAAAACTGCAGGGAGCTCTGCATAATTAAGAGGCCTAAGTGAGAACCTATTAATAGCTATTATTTGTATCAAATCCATCCAAAAGATTAAATTCAGGCCACTCATGGTGCATATGTGGGAACAAGGTGGCCAAAACCCATGGAGACCGATGTAGCACTGACTTGCGCCTTGTTTAGTCATTTACAGTTGGGATGAGCCACTACCAGATCAGACTGCTAGTTTTACACTCACTTTGCTACAGGTATACGCAACTCCACAGTAGAGCTGGTCAGGAGATGAGAACATGAGAATTCAGGACCGGAAGAGCTCTCCTAATTCATCAAGTTCAACCCCCCTGCTATTACAGGTGACCCCATCCTAAAATCATACACTTACCAAGCTCCATCTTAAAACCAGTACTCCACAAAGCACAAGCCAGTTGAAAATCAGGCATTGTGGAGTCCACACACCATAGATTCTCCAGGGCTGCAGCAGTGGTATTCTAAGGAGGGGTCAGGGAGTGTGGGCCACACCTTGTGTATACCCCACAGATCCACCATGCACCCCATACTGCTGAAATCAGTCATGCACTTGACACTAGTAATCTGTGTGAATGGCTGTACGGGCTTTCCTGACCCAGCTAGAATAATATTGCTTGTGTGTCAATAGTAACCTTGTATTTGAGGACAAATGTAAAGAGGGCCTGGATATGTCCCACAGTATTGGTAACATCCAACTGAGCTGCCCATCCACTCTTCTGCAACCCCACACTTTAGTAATTCTTAGATTCCAAGGCCAGAAGGGACCATTGTAATCATCTAGTTTGACCAGCTGTATAACTAGGCTTGGCAGATTTTTTTTATCATTTCAATGGATAATATATGATTATTTTTGAGCATTTTTTTATTTGTATCCATTTAAATTTTCGCAGTTTGGGAAAGTATGATGGAGGGGCAGTCAGACAATAATTATGTAATGACAGTAGATGTTGAGATTCAAAAAACTAAAGCTTAATAACCATTAAAACACAAATTGTCAACATCACATGTTGAAATACACAAAATAAATATCCTTAAAGCAAACTTGAATAAGTTCTCAAGCAGCATTTTTCTCATTTTGCCTATGTGTAAACAGTTCGCACTTTACTGTTATTGTTTCAGGCTGTCTGCAAACTCAGTGCATTGGTTACACACACTTCATGTTTTGCAGATTTTCTTTGCTACCATAACAACCAGCGACTGAGTTCTTAAAAAACAAAAGCTTGAGACTCTGGAGAACAATTAAGAGGTCTATCCATGCCTTACCCTTCGTGGCCGTGAGGGGCTGCATCCCACACTTCAGGAGACATTGCTGTATATTAGCATAGCTGAGACTCAGATCTAGACCCTGATGATCTAAAGGTTACGCTTTTACTAGATGAGCCCAAAAGGAGCCTCCCCTATTCAAGCTGAATTAAACTTGTCTCAGGTGGTGGTTGTTCTTTAAGTATCTTACAGAATTGTAATAATGTGAAACACAGTTTGTATATACAAAACATGTATTGTCTGTACATGAATGGGTTTTGTAAGCTAACTTGCCTGTTTTATTGTTTGACTATAGGATCAAGTCCACATTCAGTGGCTTATGTATAGTTGCAGCAAGTGGTTATGTCGGAAGAATACAAGAAAAACATCTGAACCACAAACAAACAAACACACACATGCTATTTTCCCCCCACCAAGCTAAAAACAAAACAAAAAAAACCTTTCATTTATCCACATCTGTTTAAATAATTTTTTAAGGGGAAGAGAGCATCTGGGATGAGATATTGTACTTTAAATGTCAGCCCAATCCACATTAAAACAAATCAGTTGCAGCCTCTCACTCTAGAGTGTTACAGTGGAAGTGAAAATATACTGCACAGATGCAGACCTCACTCTTGCCACTGCCAGGTGCCACTGTTGTGAGGAATGAAGCTGTCAGGAGACAATTGTCAATTCTGGGGTATTAGAAGAAGTATGAAAAGCCTAAAGCTATTGACAGATATCACAATCTATGTTTATGAAACCATTAGTGATAAATTGTGGATCCAAAAGGTTATTTAAAGTGTTCCCCAAAAGCAGTCTTTGCATTATTGATGACATCTCCATCTCAGCTTTTGAAAATTTCAGCTTGAAGTTTCTGCAGGTTTGTTGTATGAAGTCAAGTGCAAAAAGTAAAATATTCAGCAAACAGCATTCTTCTTCCCTGAAGAGCAACTGTTGAGCTATCATGGTTGATTTGACATATTACAAATATCTAGATAGATAGAGATGTTCCACACTGTGAAAAAGATTGAAGATCTTCCCGCCATTCACATGCACCTTAGCGTAAGCCCTTCTGTGGATTAAATAGCTTCTCTGGTTTAGGATATTGTCCACAAAATACCACAATAGATTTTGCATTTTGCAGACCGATTTCTCAACAAAAGCAAGATTTTACTCTTGTTTGTGATCTAGCAATTTCCTGCCTTGTCTTGTCTCCTGTTCTCACATCTCACTTCTCTCCCCATTAATTTTGTCCAAAATACTGCTGCAAATATCTTTCTCACCAGTTCGTCTGATCATGATTTTCCTTATTGTTAAGAGCTAGCTTATGGCTTTTCTACAAGCCCTGTGTATGGGACAGCATGTAGCTTGGATCATCCTAGGAGCAATGCAGGGGAGGTCTTGTGCCCCTCAGAGGCACGGTTTCCTCCCTGCTTCTCCCATGCTCTGTGGGTAAGAGTACTAATTTACTGCTGGCACACTACCATGTTGCATCATGTGTGCTAACTAGTACATTGTGCGGTGGAGTCAAGGCTCCACCCATTCCCGACACACCTCCTCTAGGGGATGGGTAGCATCTACATGCACAGTGCCAAGTCATAGTCTAGTTCTGAATGTCACACTACTACCCATCTTTTTCCATGATCAGGTCAAACTTCTCGTCTGCACCTTTAAAGAACTCAGTGGCATCTCCATTCACTCAGTTCTCTCATCGCATTTTCTCCTCCACACCATTTTATTGCATCCTAACCTTGTCCTCCTGCAGAGCACTTCTACCAACTCTACTTGGAGGGGTTAAGTGGGATTAAAGTGGGGCATAGACCTTAGGCTGGCCCTCTGCTCACAGATGAATACTATCCATTTACAATAGCACTTTTAAGACACACTTTTCAGACACAGAAGCCATGGGGTGGGGGAAGCCCCAGCAGCCCCCGACCCTCTCCCTGGCAGAAGCTGCAGGATGGTAGGGGAAGCCCCCAGTACCCACCAACCCTGGCAGCAGGGGAAGCCCCTGCACCCGCTCTCTGGTGGAAGCTCCAGGCGGGCAGGGCAGAAGAAGCCCCAGCGCCCTGACCCATGTCCTCTACAGAAGCTTGGGAGTGGCGGGGGAAGCCCCAGCACCCAGACCCCCACTGTGGCCCTGGGACTGAAGGAGCTCTCACTCCCTGCTGCGGACCCAGGGCCGTGGTGCGGGGACAGAGCTTCTCTGGTCTTGGGGCCACAGTGGTGGGGGGCAGAAAGGAGCAAACAGGTTGTATGGGGGCGCAGTGGGAGGAACAGAATTGGGGGACCCTGGGTGGAACAGGGATGGGTTCCAGGGAAGGGGCAGAAAGGGGTGAGGCCTTGGGCAGGGCTGCAGGCTAAAGGAGCAGAATGGGGGCTGGACCGCAGGTGGAAGGAGTGCGGAGGGGCCCCCCACTTGCTCTGGCCCAGGGCCCAAGGAAACCTTAATCTGCCTCTGAGTCTGGCCCTTAATCTTTCCCATAAGTCAGTTCCATCAATGACACTAATCAATCAGTCATTAAACAATGATGTAGCTTCAACATAAAGCATACTCTTTATTGCTCTTTATTGTTAATAACCATATCAAGATAATCACTTGCTCTAAGTATTTTAGTGGTTTTTAAAAAGTATCCAAATTGCACTTTCTCAGTCCACATATTTGCTCCCTGTGTCTTCATGTCATATCTGCTTACTTTACAGGCTCTTATATTTTGCTAGTGTTGGCATTGAAAAGCCAATGCAGTTGTGGGAGTGTGAGCTGGATTCTGTTTTGCTGGGTGTATTGTCAGCAGAATCGTCACCTAAATTTTCCTTGCACAATCTTCCTTATGAACCATGTTGTAGGAGGCAGAAAGAGTACCACTTCATTTTCTAAACCTAGGTTGTGATAGAAGCTCTGAGGTTTAAAAATAATCTTTTATCTGAGCAAATTTGACAGTTATCTGTTCCGAGAGAATCAGTCTGGATCCACGTTATTTCTTTTATTAAGTTAAAATGCATCTTTAGTTCCATTCTCAGGATTTCCTACTGAATATTATTCTTAATTTTTAAATTGCTTTGTCAAAATAGGATCGGTACCTCCAGTGAACGTGCCTGACAAAGAGTAATTGATTAGTTATAGGGACTGTGTGTCAGATTTAAAAGATTTGTAATACAAAAAGAACCCCAAATATTTCTTGGCAATATATTTGCCCTATGGTCACTAATGTCAGACCTAGTTATAAAAGAGAATGTGCTAACATTCAGTACTGTATATTTATAAAATTAGGAAAGGATTAAACTGGGATTGCCTCAGAAAGATCCAGTTTTGTTTACTGTTCCCCACCTATTCTGTTCTTTTCTCCAGTTGAATTTAATATATATCCTGGCGGGTTGTGTGTTCTAGTAAGGGAGATTCTGGTAAAATAGAAAAAGCAAAGCATAATGCCGAGAACAGGAAATGTATGATTTCCATCCATAGAATCTAAAATTATAAATGGGGTTTATTTTAACTGTCCAACTAGGATGTGGGAGCAGTTTAGTACAAAATCTTTCTATTTTTCCATCCATGTAATTACTATTCTGTAGCAGGCCCAAGATAACTTAATTATATTATGTTCTCAGGGCCGTTGCCGGAGTTGACAGAGACCCTGATTTGGTTCATATGGAAATCCAGGACCCCAGTGGAGGTATGCTAATGAAAATGTTAGCAATTGACATCCTGGTGTATGGCTGCTTCTTTTGATTTTAAAGAATACTTTTTGCATTCATTTATAAAACAGTGGGAAGAAACATTTTCCACTTGTCAGATTCTTGCTCTGTTTATATATATTCAGCAAAACTGTCCTGATATATAAAAATGTAGTATGATTTAAAATGTACTTGTTTTCCACTCTGAAATAAATTGAAGTCAAGATGCTATGCTCCAGTGAAAAAGTCCATTAATAGTGCAATTTGTTCTGGCACTTAAACATTGAACATTTTTTCCTGATTTGCAAATACAGCTGGCAGTGCAATGTAGTGCTGGGTGAGTGTCTGCTAGAGTGAATCCTCGCATATGTCAGCTCCACTGAATTAACAGTCTTTTCCCAGAAAATCCTTGTGTTACACATTCAACGTAGTTTTGTTTTTGTTTTTTAAAAAAAATACTAGAAGTTACAGAGTACACAGTACAAAGTAGACACTACAATTACAACATATATGTGTCTGTCTTCTTAGGAATTGTACCCTTGAAAGATGGTTTAATTCTGTGGACGATCATCCTAGCTCCTACACACTATTATACCTTAATTGTAAAGGATGTAGAACATGATAGCTCTTTCCCCCCACCCCTGCCCTGACCACGGTGAAAAATTAAGGCCAACCCTTAATAATCAGGTACCTAAAGTTCAGCTCCTAAATCCAAGTGATCAGATTTCACAGAAGCTCAGAACAGATGTAGGTCCCAGTGAGTTCCTGAGTAGTTGGTTGGGTCTAGTGAGATTCAATAGGAGATTCAATAGGAGTTGGATGGAAGAAAATTTCCCATTCATTCAGCAGAATAGTGATAGGATTACCAAGAGACAATGGCACTGCCCTGATGCTACATTAGCCTCTACTGCTCCTGCAACCCTGTTCTTCAGAGGACAGTGGCCAGTCAAGGTTACATGTGGCAGAAGATCCATTGTCATGACCTGGTTCCTCCTCCATCCCACCCTGCCCTCAAACTGCTGTGTGGTGATAATTCAATTTCTTAGATTAATAGATTCTTAAAATGATTCAGAGTGGGACTGTGAAGAGCTGGCATATTTTTTTCCCCCTTGCAAATTCTCTCTTACCTCCACTTGCCTGATGAAATCATTTCTATTACACCTGGGGCTCTCCACAGTTAGAGATTTGTCCCTTGCTATTTTTGTTTTTAGATGTGAACTCAGCTATGCATTTTGGCTCCATATTTCATGTGCCACCAAGGCCATAATGATAGTGGCTATTTGCAAAATTCATGTCCACAGATGGGTTTGGAATTTGAATGTCCCCAAAATGCAAGGGGGGCAAGGGTTGGATCCAGCATGTTTGATTTTTGCCCATTTCTAGATTTTATAACTCATTCTGTAACTTCAGAATAGAGTGGCAAAAATAGCAGTTGATTAACTAGTATCCGTGGAATATTTCACCACTTTTTTTTTTGGTTAAGTTCAATGACAAAGTTGAACCATGTGCATTTAATCTGATTCCCTCAAATGAACTATCACAAGTAATAATTGTGTTGTTTTTATTTTCTAAAGAAGAATCTGAGAAAGGAACACTGTTCTCTTACATGATTTTTAATAAGTTTATTTCCTGGCTGACTCCTTTAGTGCTATATCTGGCCCCGTTGAGGTCAATAGAATTTTTGCCATTGACTTCAATGGAAGGAGGATCAAGCTCTTTGTACCTTTATTAGATAAGAGACTTTACTGGTTTCATGCTTGTCCATGTGAATTATGACTAATTCAAGGAATTTGAAGGCCCTTTGCTGTGTTTGCCCCAATTTCCTTGTGAAAATGGTTTGGCGACAAGCAGTAGAGTATGGACCCAAGCTGCTTCGGAGCCACGTCCAGATTTTAAAACTGTCCCAAAAGTTTGACACTGTTTGGATTTGGTGTTTTGGTTTGGACCGTCTCATAAAAATCATGACAAATGGGGTCATGGGAGGTAAGTTTCTTGCAGGAATAATGAAACACATGAGTGCTAAAGCTTTGCTCATTCAGACTGAGACAGAAGCGAGGTGATGTGTAGTGTTCTTATCTCAGGTTTGGGAGATTGGAATTTCCTTCATGGGCTTGGGCAAGTTACTTAGGGCTGGACTGACAGTGTGCTGTACACAGAGCTCTATAGTGGGACAGGAGCATGCAAGGCTCCACCGTAAGAGAAGTTCTGTTCCATAACAGCTTGGTGTACAAAGTAGGTGGGAGAACTTTGCTCCATCCATTAGGTGGGAGCAGATTGCTTCCCTGATGCACCAGTCCTGCTCTGCACCCCATCCTGGATGACTCACTTAATGGAGGAGGAGTGGAGCAGTGCTTGTGACAGGGGCTGCAAATATTGTGGGCGAGAGCCTCAACTGGTGCTAATTGGCATAGGCTTTTTATGCAGGTCATTTACCCTTCGCATAAACATTTTAACCTGCGAGGAAAATCCTAAAGCATTTAATAGAGAATTATAACATGTCTGCAGAACTTTGAAACCAACCTTTAAAATTCCGTAACAGGGATCTGTGTATTCTCTCTTAAATTCTATGGGCTTGATTCTCTTCTCACCCAGTTTTACATGAGGGGAACTCCTGGATTTCAACTACAGGACACCAGATCTCCACTGCTGTAAATGAGTGATCTGGCCATGTGAGGGACCCTTGTGCAGGTCAGGCAAGCCCCCTCTCTTGAACACCTCCACAAGGGCCACTCATCATCTATTCCTTAATCTTTCTGGGCCTCAGTTTTTCTGACCATGAAATGAGGCTAATACCTTCTTACCTCTGAGGAGTGAAGTGAGGATTCAATAGTTAATGCGTATCTAGCACTTTGGAGATTAAAAGGTTTCTGTGTGAGGGTTAGGTGTAATTATTTTATACCTGACTATACTGATTAATGTGACGCTTCCCCCACGCAAACAGAATGTCAAGATATTTGCTTCTCTGTCTTTGAAAACCCTGTAACACGTTTCTCCCCCTGCCCTCAGGTTATCGCTACATCACCTGTCAGATTCAGAATTGCTCTGATAAAACACCAACAGTCCAGTTTGCTGGCAGCATCGACCGGGATTCCTTGACTGTGCAAGATGACTACATATTCCTCCAGGTAATGTCACTTACTGCAGACACAAGCCAATGTTAAACTAAAATTGAGAAATACAAGCCATACAGCAAAACAGTAGCATAAGAAAACAAAGAAACCTATTTCTGTATAGAGATGGATTAAGAATCTTCACATACAACAAGGCATTCCATACCAGTCTTATGAAAGATGACACATTTTTGACCCAGAGCAAACCAGCTGCTTATCCCCCCTTAGATTTTGATTTATCATTTGATTTAGATGTAACTATATTGCCAAGATTTAGTTTGGACTATATGGTCCAAATTCCTGTTAACGCTACTATAAATTAGGCAGTATTTAGCATTTTTGGGTCAAATCCTCAGGCTCTGCTCTGGTTTCTTTTCACTGCTTTGACAGCACAGAGCAGGCAAAAAGCTGCCTGGGTGCTAGCCAAGGGAATCCTTACATGCTGTAAAGCCGGCTTTTTGCTCCCCAACTGCTTACGTAGCGAGCATGTTGGGAATGGCCTTGGAGCAAATACCACTGTGGCCAGTCCTCAGCTGATGGAGTGACCCTTGTGTCTCTTTAGAACCACTCCAGTGGTGCAATTTAGACCAGACTTTAGATTGCTCCAAGTTACATTGTGGCCCTTTCATCCAGCCAGCAGCCACAGGGTCTGGGAAGCAGCAATATGGCAGCGGGTCATCTGCCCCCTACCAGCTGCCCCATGTGTGAGTTTGGCGCAGCAGAAGATAACACGAGTCTGGCCCAGCTGCAGGCCAGCAATCCTAGAGGGATCAGCCAACATTATCCCAAAGGGTGGAGCAGCCTTTGCAGTCCTACTGCAGGCTATTTGGAGAAGGATTTCTCCCAAGCCATCTCCGAGTTACCCATAGGGTAGTGTTTCTATGCATTGCTCCCTACTCAGTCCTATGGTAAAATGCCACAATTTAGCCCCAGTTTGATGTAGTCTGCTTGCTGCAAGCTTTGTCTCCTACAGGAAAGCAATATTGGTTTTTCTAAGTGATATTAGAGGAGATCTCTGCTCCACAGCCTTGGGGTACATTAGATTGGCTTTTCCACAGCTTTCTTCCCTTGTGGCCTGTTTCTTGGAGAGGAATTGTGTACACTGGTACAGAGACAAAGAAGCTGTCATCCATGTTGCTGAGCACAACAATCTGCAGGTGCACATGATAGGAAATACTTATCACCACAAACCAACTACGAGAAATGCAATTGGAAATGAAATTTTGAATTAAAATTGGCATTTCCCAGCCCAAGCCACGCATTGGTGGCAGCCATTTTGCTCAAAGGTGGCTCCCACCAGGCACATTTTAAAATTCATTTCACAGTTAGTAGATGGTGAGAAGTGTTTCTCTCCATGTGCACTTCCAGACTGCTGTGTTCTGCAAGACACAGGTAGTTTTCTTTTCAAGCAACTGTGTTATTCTAGGACAGTACATATTTGTAGACAGTATTGTTCTGATCTGATGCCAGACATGGGCAGGCACAGCACAGAGGAATGAACTGGAAACTCACCCATAGCAGCTGAAAGGTAACAGAAAACCACTACCAACAAAGTTATACAATAAATAGTGTATTCCCATCTCCCGGTGAATTGGCCCTTATTGATGGTAATGGAAGTGAAGTGCACTTATTCCATGGGAGAAATACATCATTTCAGTGTTTCCTTTCAGAGTATTTGCAGTAAATCTCATTGATATAGTGTCTTTCATTCACTGGATCACTGTAAAACACCCCTCTTGTAGACATGGCCCTAGAATGTTAGTTCTTCAGGATGGGACCCATCCATTCCTTCTTCCATGGAGTTAGGGACTAATACTGGGAGAGGAAACCAAATGGATGTCTCCCAGAGCACCAAATACCCTGATAATATTGCAGTTGTAAAGCACAGAACATAAAGCTGTTGTCATACTGGCACCATAGAAGAAGCAGCTTTTGTGTAATGAGGAAAAGCTGTCACTCCACTCTGATCACTTGGATTAGGCAGTATCAGATGTACCTCCAGCTTTGTTTCCCTGCAGTAATTCCACACCTGCCACGAGGACCTGATTTCACTTGAAAGTCCAGGATATCTGTATTTACTGTTTAATATGATGAATAAGACTGGTGTTTAACAAAAATAAATAAAAATGGAAGGGGATTGGTTTTATCTCTCAGTTAACAACTCACATTCTGAAAGGTTTCGTGTTTGTTATGCTACAGAAAAGGAGATGGACAGGAAAGAAGTGTAAAAATGGCCACAGTTCTGTTCGTTGTTACATTTAAACTATTCAGGAAGCTAGATCTGCAGTCATGCATCAGTTCTATTTTTACCAGGCAAAGGTCAAATTTGCATGTTTCAGCATAGTTTGTTTTTCAAACCAATTCCTTTTTTTAAACACGTAATTAAGTATGTGATGCTCTAAGGCCGAATCCCAGGGTCCTCAATTAGTTTAAACTATGGCAAACTCCAGCTGATTTAAATAGGTGTTTTGTCTGAGTAAAATCCCCAGCATTGAGTCCTAAAAGTTTATTTTGAACAATACTTTAAAACTTAGCTTTTCTGTGGATCTTCTATGAATGGGATGAAGGCGTTCCTTCAGGAATTACATTGCCTTAGTAGCTGCCTTCCATTTAGCCACCACATTGTGATGATTTTATCCATCACCCCTCCCTATGCTCTGGGGGATGCCTTTTCTGAGACAGCTGAGGTAGAGAAGACTGAGGCCAGAGGGGTTCACTGCACATTCGCCTTTTAAGCCAGCTTCTACTATGACAACAAAGATTTTCTTCTGTATTAATCAAGCTTCGTTTGAGAGCTTGGAGTAGAAATTGCCACGTATTTTCTGAGAAATAGGAAAGCTGCCTTAAAAACCCTTTCCCTGCCACAATGGAGGTGGCTTTGTCAGATGGGTAACTTTATTGTTTTGATTCAGGGTATCCCCCCCTACAAAAGGAGGGAATAAAGCTTGAAAAGGAGGAAAGAAGGACCTGAATAATTGTTCAGTGCATGGGGTTGGACTTAATAAGGGATCCCAGCCTCCTCTAGATGCATGATCCCACCTGTCTCAATGCAGAAGAAAAGTAGCAATGACAGGGATGGGGATGCTAGGTATATCTTCTAACTAAAGGCACAAAGTTTAGGCTGTTAGTTCTGCTGACCTACAAAATGGCTTTTCTTTGCACTGTAATAAACCAGAGGAAAAAATTGTATATTTTACTTTTACTTTTTTTTAAATCAGTCTGTTGCTGTTAATTTATAAAGCAATAACTTTTGATAAATCTAGAGTCAGTGGCTGAATTGCTATTACCTAGGGGGAGAAGCCAGTGGTGCAGAGAAGTATGTGAAATATTATTTATTAAGGGCCGGATTATCTGCTAGTATAATTTGATGGAGCACCATTGACTTCAATGGAAATGTGCCAATTTACCCCAGTGAAGGAACTGGCCCTAAATCCATGACAGTGAGGTACAGTAGGGAACACCCTGTCACCTTGTTGTTTTAATCCATCAGTACTTAATACAAATATATTGCTACTTTGAAAAAAAAACACGTCTGTTGTTATTCTAATAACTGCAAGGAAAGGCAAGGCTTGCAAATACCAATATGTCTAGTATGACATCAGGGGAGAAAGGTGGTAATGGAGAACATCTCTATGCTAATTTTCCATTCACTAGCTGCTTGTGCTTTGTTTTCTATTCAGTGGAAATCTTTGCAGGGCTTCTGGATTGTTTATATGGGACCCAATTATGCCCTCCGTTACACAGGTGAAAGGTCTATATTCAAACCAAAAGGAGTGTCACCATGTAGATGAAGCTAGAATTGGGCTTATAGGATACCGTTAACCTATTTTCAAAATCACCACTGCACCAATAGGTTAAATGTCATACTGTTACCCACCATGGCACTTCTGGGAGACTTGTGCCAGAAAATGAATGATTATAGCTAGAAAATGCTTGTCCGATACAGGGATTCAGAATGCTTTATATAAACCTTACATTATGATTTATTCAGCCTCTTGTGTTCTGTTTGAATAGTGCTGTAATAGCAGTTTTAAAAGACAGACAAGGTAGGTGAGGTAGTATCTTTTATTGGACCAGCTTCGGTTGGTGGAAAATACAAGCTTTCAGGGTTCACAGAGCTCCTCTTCTAGTCTGGGGAAGGTAAACTGAGTGTCTGAGCTAAATACAAGTTGGAACAGATACTTAAGCATAAGGGGTTCACACGTGCTGTAGGAGACCACTTAAAATAAAGTAGGCAATTAGGGATTAGCAGGCAGTGTGGAGTGCTACAAATGCTTATAACAAGCCATAAAACCATTGTCTCTGAGTCCATGATTTTGTAGGGGTCACAGTGGAACCCATACAATATCATCGAACAGTTACAACACATATTGGATGGGAACAACATCCTGAAAAAAATCTTTCCTGAGCCCACTCTTCTGACCTTCAAACAACCTGCTAAGTTCATTGTTGAAAGCAAGTTCCCCACAGACCAGGACACACCAACTCCAAGTGGCACCAGACCCTTCCAGAACAACAGATGCAAAACCTGCAGACATATCTCCACTGCTATGATGATCAATATCTCAGAAAACACACCTTTCAAGATTCCTGGATCCTACACATACCTATCACAACATGTGGTATGCTTCACCCAGTGCATTGGATTCCCCAACTGTGTGCATGAAACCAGTCAATCACTGTGCTCTCAAATGAACTCCCACAGAAAAATTATAAAAGACAAAAGCACCCTATCACCTGTGGTGAACACTTTTTTTTACAAAGTGATCACTCCACATCTGACCTCTCAGTCCTCATCCTCAAAGGAAACGTGCACAACAATTTCAAAAGGCGAGCCTGGAAACTTAAATTCATAACTCTGCTAGACACCAAAAATCATGGACTCAACAGACACATTAGATTTTTAGCTTGTTACCCCACTGCTAACCCTTAATTGCCTACTTCATTTTAAGTGGTCTCCTACAGGAGAATTGTGTGGACCCCTAATGCTTCCATCTAGTATTTAGCTCAGACACTCTGGTTACCTTCCCCAGACCCAAAGAAGAGCACTGTGAAGCTTGAGTGCTTGTACTTTCATAGAATCATAGAATATTAGGGTTGGAAGAGACCTCAGGAGGTCATCTAGTCCAATCCCCTGATCAAAGCAGGACCAACACCAACTAAATCATCCCAGCCAAGGCTTTGTCAAGCTGGGCCTTAAAAACTTCTAAGGATGGAGATTCCACCACCTCCCTAGGCAACCCATTCCAGTGCTTCACCATCCTCCTAGTGAAATAGTGTTTCCTAATATCCAACCTATACCTCCCTTACTGTAACTTGATACCATTGCTCCTTGTTCTGTCATCTGCCACCACTGAGAACAGCCTAGCTCCATCCTCTTTGGAAGCCCCCTTCTGGTAGTTGAAGGCTGCTATCAAATCCCCC